ATTAATAATTATAACAAACTAGTGGAGTAATTTCACAAAAAATAATTGAATATCAATTCAATAAAAATTTAATTAATAAAAAAGTTGTTTAAAAAAATTTGCAGCCTTGGGGTCCAGTAAAGAGCCCGAACGTTGGTTTGTTTGAAGAAAACTATTTTAAATTAATTTTAGATCCGAAACAATAGTTACATTTCCAGTGTTTAATAATCGCGAAAATCTAAGAACTCAATAATACAAAATTACTTTAAAAAGTTTCAACTCCAAGAACTATATGAATTAGAACTGCAAAACTCATAAAACACATTCTTGATTTCGAAGTTGGATACTCCGGGATGTAAAGCACTTTATGTACAGAAACAACATGGCGGCGGCGGCGGCGGCAGCGGCACGTTATCATTTAAATTCCTTTTTCCTGCCTGAATGAGGTCACAACTCATACAAACTAATCACAGCAAATAGTCATACATTTTATTGACGTTTATTGTACTTTGAATACTTACTAAATACAGTAAAAATATGTAATGAGGGTAGAATGGAAAACTAAACGTAATTAACAAATTGAACACGTGATTAGCCAATGTTTTGTTGTACCATTGATTTATGGGACATTATTACTGATAAACAGTAAACGAATTAAAGAAAACAAACTATTACGTAGGTATAATTAATAATAATAATAAGTATACATAGTATTTATCTAAAAAAAAGGCAGACTTTTCTGTAACCTTACAGAAATGGTCAAAAAGTAATTACATTTCTCTACTAATGTTAAAATAATAATGTGTACATAAAGAGATTAGAAAAGAAATTAAAAAAATACGTTGACTCACAGAATAATATCCATTATAGGAATCCCAATCGTACTCCGTCACACCCATTTTTAATTCCACTGTAGACTACAGTCAACGCAGCACTAAACCATACAGCACCACTATATAACCCTATTAATGTATAGTCCACTATCACACACTTTAATAAACTTGAACAGTCCAGTTATATCTTATCTTACGCATACACAGTTATATATGAGGTCCTTAGAGTTGGAAAGAATTTTATTGGAAAAGAAACTTGTGATTGAAAACATTGCGATCACAAAAAAAAATGTACGACACTCCTGAGAGACCTGAGCGCGACTGAGGCAGCGGGGATATTAATTTTAATATTAGACACTGCGTATGATTCTCAATCTATGGTGCACAAGCACTGTAACGTAACTTACAAATCGTACGTTACGTTTACGTGTGAACGCACTGCCAGTTGCTTCGTAACTACATAGCTTCAAAGAAGTCAAAAGCGTGAGGGTGTTAAAAGGTTGAGTTTACTTAGGGCAAGAAATACATTAATTAGTGTACTTAGGGTCTAATTAACGCGTGCTGTTTTGTAATGTGCTCAAGGTTGCATTTCGTGCAATAATTTGTAAGAACCCTAGAGAGTTTAGTAACGATAATGTTATTTTTAAGAATTTAATTTAATTTTACTTCTTCATTAAAATTGAGAGCACTTATTAAGGGCAAGGAAATTAATTACCCCGAAAGTGAGGTAATCAGTCAACAATCTTCATACGTTTATCAAACAAAGACAAAATATGTTAAAATAATGGCGAAAAGACGACGAAGCCAAACGGATTTTGTAGAAATAGCGTTCTATGTAATTTAAAAAAATTTGAAAAGTTATTAAATTTTCAGTCAACCGTGACCATGGGACCTGTAAAGGGCCCGAAACGTCGGTTTGTTTGAAAAAACAAATATACGCGATTTAAATCCGAAAAAATAGTTTCATTCCTTATTAAAGTTTCATCATTACTTTGCCGTTCGCTTTTTGGAAGATCGTATTAACTGAATAATGATTATCTTAACAGTTTACTGGTAAAAAAGATATAAACTGTTATTGTCCGGTATCTGAAACATAGTATTTGAGAACCGCTGTCCTACAGGATAGACTTCATTGGCAACTCACACATGACGCCCGTATGTGCGACCGCCCATACTGAGTCAATTAAATATAGCTCACCCATACATTCACGCGGCCCTCATAGTCCTCGAGGAGGGACGAATGTATGACCGTATAACTGCGGGAATATGTGTATAGAGATTGACGAAGCGTTGTATGTAATGGTACGCACACATGAACGTTTTATTTTATCCCCACTGCAGTGACTGTACTCAGGGAACATCTTAATTTTGCGGCCCAAAGTAGCTCTATCATCGAACTAATATGATAAAGTTGTTTGCCAGAACTCTACTATCAAGTTTTTCGATCTGCAAAATTATTTTGGTGCTGTATCTTCACTTCCCGAGGGACCAACGTTCTCTTTACAGTTGAACAGGAAGACTATTGCTTTATTATGAATGCTGGCCTGGTGCCCGTGGCTAGTTTCTAATATAGCGACTATGTGTGAGTCCTCCCGGGACGCAACGGACAGTTGAAGAAGCGTGACGAGTTCAATTATTTTTGTAACGCTCTAATTGAATTATCAAAGCAATTGCGACCGCTCCCAACGAACAACAAAATTTCATTGCGATGTTTTCTTTGCAATTTTGATAATAATAAGGTAACACATAGGTACTAACAATAAAGAAAACATACAAATTACGTAGATATGCTAAAACATAAGTAAAAGTTGTTTATATACTCTGGTGCTCTGATTCAAGAAAATATTGAGGTATACACATTTATAAAGATAAAATATAAGTATTAAAACACTACTACTAATATTAAATTTGGACATAAAAATGCAAAACTATAAATTGAATGTCATTATTACTGTCACGTCTATATTTTTATGCTTAAATAGAAGGATAATTATTACTCTTCAAAAGAATCTAATTTAAATGAATAAACGGATATTACTAACGACATCTATGTAAATCTTGAGAAATGCTTAGAGTTCACCTTGCTACGGACTAGATGGCGTTACCTCTGTAGATTTTTGTAGGAAAATAGTAAAAAAAATGTGGAAAACATGTAATATGCAACAGAACAATGTAACACTAAAAGATGACAACACAAAACGTGCTATAAGAAGTTTGGTGTGATATGATTATGTATTTTTATGATGAAAAAAGATAATAAATGTGTAACAATCGCGAATAACCTAAGAACTCTATATGATAAACACAGGTTTAAAATTTACTAATTTCCCAATAATGACTCTATCAACCAATTTCAATAATTTTTATTGTACTTTACTTTTGGGGAATCTGTCAAAAATTATAGAACTTTTAACTTCAATTGTTTGTTTTTTTTTTCAATTCACAACAAACTTCGCGATTCCCTTTTCACTAAAAGTCGTTATTTGATGGATAGAATCAGTTCTTAAAAGCTTAGTAACTTTTTCCCACTGTGGAAATGATAAAGTAAAAATAGATGATAGAGATGAGACATCGAACATTTATGGCGAACCTGAATGCTATTGTCGGTACTGAAAGAGTCGAAGCGAAACTTTTCCAACAGCGAGCTCGAAATGCTGGCAAACATCTCGCCATGGGGATTACTCTGCAATAACCACCACCCAAATCGATTAGCAAAAGAAAACTGAAAATAAAATACATATATACATACAAAATGCATAGTATTAGATATTGTAAAAAGTATCGGTAAAATATTAAGAATCGATTGTAGGTATTATTAATTAAAATATTCAGTAACAGTTAAAAAAATTACGACTTCAATTACAATAAAAAAAAGAATTTTGTAATTTTCCCGTTAAATTATCCAATCATTTACTTTCTTTTTTTTTCAATTATGAAATTTTTATTAATTAAAAGCATTTGCTTAAAAATTTCTTAACAAAAAGAACACACATACTGATATATAAATTAAACAGGTGTAAATAAATAAAATTAGTAAAGTAGTAAGATTTGTGGCATTGCCTTTCATGTTCTTCAAAGATTCTAGTGAAATAGTGTCATTTAAATGAATTGTTTTCAAAATAAAACAATGCGTAGAAGAATAAATCAAAGTAAATTCTATAAATATTTCACCACATAAATAAAATATGACAAAGTTAAATAAAAATAAAGTAATAAAATAACACAAAAAATACATAAGTACATAAAATAAAATAAGATAACGAGATTCAGTGAAAAATCGAGTAAAGTGAGCGGTTTTGGGCGTCGTCACGTCTCGCCATGCGTCACACTGTGATCCAAGGAACTCTATCTCTTTTTTAACAAATTTAGTTTAAAGTCTAACTGCCACCGTGGCCGAACGGTTACCATGCCGGACTGCCACGCGGAGGTCCCAGGTTCGATTCCAGGGCCGGGAGAAATATTTGTATGGCCTACATTTATTTCTCTCGCGAGTTTGGGTGTAATTTATGGTTGTCTATGTGTGTCCATGGCACCCACGACACAGGGTTTCACTAGCGCGGGGCTATGTTGAGTGTGTGTTATTAAGTAGAAAAAATCTATTTCTTTTGTCCTATACAATATTGTAGCCTTTTAGGTTTATTTAGTTTATAATGTTCTTTATTGAATGCCATATCGATATTAACTGCACATAACAAATTATTATTTTCTAAACAGTTAACACAATGCAATTTGAAATTTGATCATAATTAAAAGCCGTCGCTAAAACATGGTCTCATAATCTCACGGCCAAATTCTCACGACGCGACGTTTACAATACAGTAAATTGTTTGGTTTTCGAATTAGTGAATGGCAGCGCTTATAAACCTTATAAGTAAGGTCGAATTCCTAAGTACACTAGCATATTGTAAATCTTAATACAATAGGTACCTACTGTACAGTTCCGGTGGTTAAGAGGCATGTAAAAGCTTGATAGTTTTTCTCGACTTTGGTACTAGAAAAAGATTTAAAGAAATGTTTTGACAGTGTTAAAACGTGTTAAGTGTAATTCTTACTCATTGACCTACCGTTCTTACCGAATAAACGTGATGCAAAGTGGAACAATATACTTTTATTTTTTGTTCAAGATACATCATAACCGGTATAGCTGCCTGTCATCGTACAACTACGTACTACCAATGTCCCCACAGTATTCAGGAAGTCATATTTAGGTACGGTATACGGCGCATGGTATATCCTAATAAAATATTATTAGTTCTTTTGTAATATCAAGTGACGGGACGAACAAATCGTACACCTGGTACACGCCTGTCCATAACAGCTGCAGTGCCACTCAGAGCTTACATCGCAAAAGATCTGAGGTTGCACTGCCACTGCGCCCGTCACCGTGGGACATAAGTTGACAAGTCCCATGTGCCTGTAATTTCACCAGCGCCCTTACTCATCAAAACCGGAACGCAATAATGCTCATATTACCGCTTGGCGGTAGAAATAGGTAAGGCGGCAGTATTTTCCTGGAAGATTTTTTCACAAGAAGCTCTACTGCAAATACATACTACTGATATTACTATGAATCTCCCAGGACACATGGCCTAACCTTATTTATTGGCTTATAGACTTGTGTATTACAATCTTTAATGGTATTTTCATGATATTTCAGAACTAAGTCTTTAGCAAAAGTAAAACGAAACACATTGCACAGATGAACAAAATCATAATCGCCACTGAGATCATAAAACTCCCACGAAGAGAACTGATGTACAACTATGGCGATTATTCTGCACCTACGTATACTGCGAGTGTTGTCAGTCTCGACTAGAGATGAACAAAACTTCTTATAAATTTTAAACGTTAAAACGTTGTACTTTTTTAAATAAGCACTCTCATGAACCGTTCTATACCTATGACGCTTTTTAGTTTGAATCTTAGAAAATCCTTTACAAAGACGTTCAAACCGTTTAGAAAGACTTTATGCTAAAAAAAACTTGGAATTTTGTGTTGACAGCGGAAAACGAGAGTAGGCCACTAAAGATTTCAAGATACGTACGTTTAATTTATTTGTAGAAAACAGGTTTTATTTTCATTTGTAACATTTCACATTAACGAATTAATTTGTTTAGGGAACGTAGATGTAGCTGAACTTGACACTGAAACACGATGTAAAAAGTAAAATTGTTTTGAACTGAGCAACATTTGCTATTTAGAATTATTATAAGCGTGTTTGTATGCTGATATTAAAAAGCAAACTTTTCAAAGTGCTTTTCGTTTAAGCGCCCATCACTGGTTTCGACTGCTTCGACTGTGTAGAGCTACTTGTTCAGCGCCCCTAACGTTCGCAAGAAGAACTAAGTTTTTTAATAGTATAGTATCGCCTATGACTTGTCTTTCACTGAGCTCTTACCGAAAATATTATTTTTTAACGTATACTAACTAAAATGTTAAAAGTGTTAATAAGATAAAAGTAAAAAAAAAAACAATAGATTATTTTACTAAACAAAATATCAAATAAAGTCCAAATGGCGGAATTTTAAAACGATTCTCTAAATACGAGGATGTTTCATAAAAAAAAAAGCAGATTATAATGTATTTGCAAGATACGAAACAATACATTGAACGTTAAGACGGTATGACAACGAAGTGTATAAGGTAATGATAATAATTCCCAGGTATTCTGTGCGCGAAATAGCAAGTACGATTGCACGGTCGCACGCAAAACGCTGATGTATTTTTATTTCATACTTTTATGGCCGTGGTTTCGCAAAGTGTTTCATTTTTTATGTATGTGTTGCGAGAGGTCCTTATTGTAGGATTCCTTGAACTGAGGTCTTATTCGTTCCGCCACGGTCTGACTAATAAAAGAAGTGTAATTATTGCCATTAACGTTCATAACTTTGCTTTTATAGTAACGTTAATTAACTAAGTACATAACAATATAAACTTTAGATGTTGGGCATAGAAGTCACTAAATCTTAGTTTTTGTTAGATTTTTTCTTACAAAGTCATTACACCTAATGTTTATTCACTCATTACTGGTATAGGTACCCATTTGCAAGGTTTCTTCTTTTGTTCAACCTACTGTGTACTCATGATTTTTATTTATAACCATTTTAACCCGTTCATGGACAGCACACAAAAATGTCACTGCTTTTCTTCATGCCTAAGAGCGCTTGCGCACTATGATCGATTCACATCAGTTCCCAATCCGAGAAATGACGGTCCGAAATGCCACAGGGATCATTTTATCTCCAGGTGTACAAGTGATATTCGTATTTATCGGATGCGAATCGGACTTAGTGCACGAGCGACATGCGAAATGGGTCCGAGTTTTCTAGATTTGTATAGTCCCGGATTCGGAACGAATACGGACCGGATGCAGAGCGCTTGTGCAACGCGTACAGTGCTTATATTGACTGAATATAAAATGTAAATCATTGAATCTTATTTGATACTTCTCTATGGAGAAGCAGTAGGAGGCAACTAAACAGAAAGCACTTGGAAATCGCGCAGTGAAGCCCGTATTTGGTTTTGGTGGTCATATGGTGAAACGGGGAACCCCGTGCTATCATACTCTGATACCTATATAATTACGGTAAACGTCGTTACTGTGTACGAACGGGTTAAATTCTAAATTTTCAGTTTTTTTAATTCGCAGTTGTAGACGGAAATAATAACTTTTCAGATGTAAGAATCTCGGAAAAGCAAACCCAGAAATGTTATTGAAACAAGAACCTCTCTCTTCACGGTCAGTGGGCAAAGACATTGTAACAATCTTAAGTTGGTTGCATTGAACAACCGAATCGCGAGGCAACCAACCGTAATTATCCTTGCGCAAAGCGGTCATGTTTCGGACTAGAACTTCGTATGTTGCATACGGCTGTGTGTGTCACATATTTTCACTAATATGATATGTTTCAAACGAATGTATGGAAAGTAAAAGTGCCAATTAGAATTTAGGCTGCTAACAGATTTACTGCATGTTTGCAGTTCATGCGTGAAGTCGTAAGCAACTTCATACAGCCGAGACCTCGACTGCATGAAGTTGATAACTATTTCACCCATTGACCACATGCAGTCGAAACCGATTTCATGCAGCCGAGATCGACTGCATGCTGTTAATACGTGAAGTCGTTATCAACTTCAAGCAGTCGTCTTAGATGAGGACGTTCCCGTTCGTAGTAACACTGGTAGTCATCATGGAATACCTTTTTCCTTTTTTTTCCGACTTTAAAAAAGGGGAGGTTCTCAATTCGACTCTGTTTTTTTGTATTGTTGTTACGCGATGACTCCGGTATTTGTGAAACCATTTTCATAATTCTTTTTTTGTTGGAAAGAGGGTACCTCCATAGTGGTCCCATATAAAATAAATAGCGTCTAAATTTTATTATAAGGAGCAATTATTTTAATGGTTATTTTTGCTATTCTCTAGCTCAAGGCGTTTTTCTCTCAATATTATACTTTGAGAAGTGAGAACCGATTTTTATTATTTCCTGTGTCCCATTTTTATCATCTCCTGATGAATCCGGGTTTGCGCACTTTCCGGTAAGCGATTTCAATAAAACTAGGCAAATGGATGTAATTCCACGTACTTTTGAGGTCGTTTTTTTCAGTACTCTGTACTGAGATTATATAAAATACAAGTGCGCATTTGACCTCCATCTCACGAGGAGGAGCAGGTTGGCGATGGGCATGCACATCTAAATATTGCCTATACACTCTCGCCTTGAAAAGGCCCAAGTAATAACGTTCAATGAATAAGTCTGCAGGCAGGGAGTTCCACTTCATAGCCGTTCGCCATATAAATGTGGAAGCGTAGTTTATGAACAAGTATTTAGTGTGATTGTGTGACACATTAATACATCTGACGTATTGCGTAGCTTAGACAAATAAATAAGTACGTAGTCTGTTGCAACCGTGTCAAATATTTGTGTGCGAAATGTTACCTCTTGTGGACTGTATGTTTGTTACGCGATAACTACGGCATTCTGAACCGATTTATATGATTCTGTTTTTGTTGGAAAGAGGGGTACCTCAGTAGTGGTATTGGTCCCATTTAATTTGAAGAAAATGTTCTACCTCTAAGGGTGGCAAACTAGTCGGGTTTTTTAGTACTCTGTATTGAGATTATTTATGATATCAGTTGCCGATAAGTCGTGTTGGTGGTAAACGACACGCCAACCCATAACAGTTGCAGTGCTTTTATCGCAAAGATCTAAGAAGCAATGCCTGCTGACAAGTCCTATGTACCTGTAGTTACACCTTTACCCCTCAAAACCGAATTACTGCTTGGCGACAGAAATATGTACGGCAGCAGTACTTCCCTGGAGGAACACATAACATAAGGACTCTACTGCTACTGCTTTTACGCGGTCGCTACCAAGAATTGTCACTGTAAACTCTTGTTAAAATCACAAAAGTGAATTTACGAATATCTACAATAGTGCCTCTCTCAAACACATAACCGGGCACTGCCTAGTGGTCCATACCTACCTCTTAATAACTACATCATAATTGGTCACCACTTTTCTTAGTTACTCACATCGTGCGTTCTGTCATCAATGATAGTGTCGTGCGGCAAGTTGGCGGTCATGAGCAGCGCATGTATATCCTCGGTCTTAAAACTTTCCATGTCGGCTTCGGCCAAGTTGGCGTCCAGGTCTCTCGCCAGATCGTTGTAGCGCGACGTGAACTCGAATCTCGAAGCCAAGTCGCTTATTCCCTTATACGAAGCCGACACAGATGATAGGACTGACGTATGGTGGCAGGAGCCGTCTCGGAAGATCGGACTGGAATATAGATAAAAACATCATTTTTGAGTCATGATCTATCTGGTAAACGCGTTTGTGAATTTATGAGCCTTATAATTTACATGTGTTTATATTTTTAACATATATGTTTATGAGTGTATGTAAAATTTATTGTTGCTAGTAGCTAGTAATTTGGTTAAGGGTACATTTGCCACATATCGTAACGTTTGTTCCGATGATAGATCTGTGCCTGTGCTAAGCACTAATTTTTAACGCACTACCGCTTATACTAGCGCAATTTTTGTGTGAGTTTGTTGCTAGGTGAGCTTATTTAAAATATGTTTTAATTTTGTTCGTTGAAGATCCCTCTTAATGGCTGAGCGAGCAATGAAGGTTCTAATACTAACTTGTAGTCTAGGAACCATAGGTAGCCGGAGTTGTCGCAATGTGCGTCGAGGTCATCGTGAGCGGAGTGCTGGCTGCCGGCGAGACTGGTGTTGCTATTGCAGTCTTCCTCGGCGCCGGCGCCGGGGCTCGCCGCCTTGAGCCCCAGCCGGGGCGGTGGCCCTGGAAATTGCAAAATAGATCGTGTTAACTTAAACCCTTTCTGTATAATGTGTATGTAAGTACATACGTACGTCTTATTGGAATACACTGTGCCCTGATTGGCTTCGGCGCAACACCTTATCATTTAAATTGTCGTTAAAGAAAGACAGCTTAACAAAATAGAAAGTTAGATCGATAAGGAATTTTGCCGTCAAAATTTTTATCGTTTTATATAAGTGTTTATTAGAGGTTATAGCAGTATTTTTTATAAAAACGAAGTAAATGATCAATTTCTAAACTTTACTTAAAATCTTATAACACAGAAATAATTGCAGAGATTTAATAATACTATCTACACAGTGACTACTCATCCAGTAACTTTAGTAAATTGCAGGTAACAAAAAATTCACATTACAATAATATTATAATTATTACAATAAGTCCCATCGGTTTAGAAAAAGATGACAAAGATTCAATGGTTATTTGGAAACAATGAATCATTAAAGTCTCGATTAAACTAGTCCTAGATAGCTTATAAAAGCGCTTTAATAAACTATATGGAGCTTTTACTAAAGTAGACTTCCAATATAGCCACTGAGTTACACTAATGCCAATATAAATACTACAGTTTAAAACATGATATTAGCTATATAATAGTTGCATTAACCAACGTAGTGGAAATAAGTGGATAAAATTGGAAACAAAATTTGTCACAGGAGCGACTTCAAAACGTTTTTTTTTTTAAAGATTTGACTTCAAAAACATTTCATGGTTAACCTACATATAATAAAAACCCAAAAATGAGTATTTTTCCGTAGAGTTTCAAAAAAATATATTTATGCATAATGTGTAAATGTTCATTTAAACATTGGATATGAACGTAGTCTTTCAATTTTGCAGACATTTATGTAAATTTCGAATTCTTAGGTTTTCGCGATTTTTACACATAGGAAATGAAACAATTTTTTCGGATTTAGAACGCGTATACTTGTTTTTTCATACATACCATTTACAGGGTCCCATTGTCAATCATTATAGTTTTATTATTCTGTTACATGAAGTTGGCGCAGTACATTTTCTTCTATAATATCTATGACTCGTGTTCTCGTTGTTCACTACCTTCATATTCATGTCATCTTTCACCCTATCTATTGCGTCTTTTCTTTTTCTCCTCGAATAGCCACCCACTACTATAACTCCTTTCGAAATCATTATCGTCATCGGCGAGTTGTATATATGTATGTAGGTATGTACATAAAACGGTAGACCTACGAAGTCTAGAGATTGATGTTTTTTTACCTCCAATTTATTAAAGTATAATATAATAGTCGTTCGTGTTGTCCCCTATCCCAAGGTGGGGACTGTTTGATATCAGAGAGGAAGATAAACAAAAACTTGCGAATTAGTATAGGAAAAAAGTTCAGTCTCCCATCCCGGCCGAGACCACAGCAGCCACGCCAAACCAACGCGCCAAGCCGGCTAACTCCGCGGCCACCCGCAGCAAAGGTGGATATTTGCTTTTGAAATTTGAGTAAGATCGTACATCATCTTACTTATTACGACCAAAAATAGTTCAGATAGTCAGTGATGCGAGACGCGATATGTACACATACTAAAAAATATATATTTTTCAAATTTATATACCTTTACACAAGAAACTCATTGTGCTTATGGTAAATATGGTATGATATTAAATACTTATATTTATGCTCAAAACACATAGCTAAAATGAATTATCTACTACTACTGCTATTGCGATGCGATAATAGCACTATTGCGATACGATAATAGCACTACTGCCGCCGGCTACACACATAAGTTGGTAGCATTTGCATTGTGAACCATAGGACAATGACGTGGGCGAGACTGTGACTTGCCTTGTATGGTAAGTTGATTCGCCAAGAGGCAAGAAAATCGGATGCGACACTACATTCTACACAATTAGGTATGTTTACTCGTATAAGAAGAACAAAATAGCTGCCAAGAGTGGTGTATTGAATGATAATTACCTTTGTTGTACTTAATATTCATTTTAATCCTCATATAGTCAGTTGAATATATTTAGAAGGCGAAGCAAGTTTAAAATGTTCAATATTAGGTTAGCTCGCCATGTGATCTATACCTTATGAAAAGAATTGATTCACAATGAAATCTTAAATACGGTGTACAGTCGCTGATATACATATGAAGGACTAAAATTTATCTATGAGAATATTTTACGCGTTCGCTAGAGATTCGTCGATACTGTGAACTCATGACAAGGTACCGGTGAAGAGTACTAGGGTAAAAGATAGACTAAACTCAAAAATGTTTCACACCGATATTAACACATACTATTAAGCAAATTAAACAAACTTCGCAATGCTTTTGTTCTTGACACCCCGCAACGCGCTATGACCAAAGGTGATGGCGGAAAACCAATGCCTTGCTTTTAGGCAAATTCGGCACTGAGGCACGATCTGTTTTGGTGTGCTGCAGCACACACAAGCTGTTGATGATTATCCGTTAGCTTAGGTTAGTGTTTTGTTTTTTATGTACTTTAATTTAATTTCATGATGTTTCGTTGTTTTTATTCCTACCTTTAATTTTAATTTCTGTGTCTTTTTTTTTATTCATTTATTTTATTGAATAATATTGTTGTGCGTGTATGATGCAAATATATTTATATCTAACAGTACTCTTGAGATCATCTGACTGAATATTTTACAGCCGCAATAACGCGAAGAACTAGACAGCCTCGCCTGTCCATGTCCATGACGCAAAGCTGATTCATCCGCGGTGTACGCGTATGCGCGAAGCTACGCTGCGCGATGGCTGATTGTCTAACGTTTTTATTGATACAAGGTATGGTTTTAATGAGACTCGAAATCATAAGTCATACAACATCGACTTTGGTTAGTGGTGCGGTGAATCATGATTTCTAGAAATAGTTTTAATTAGCTGTTTCATTGTAGTTTGGGAGTTGGGTTTTGTATCAAATAAAAACATTGTTTTTGGCAAATGAATAAACTTTGAACGTACTTTTAACTTTTCAGGCCCAAGATATGTTTTTCGTCAAATTATAGTCCTTTAATTTCTTTTTGTTAATATCAAGTGACGGAATGAACAAATCGCACGTCTGGTGATACGCCTGTCCATAATAGTTGCAATCTCACTCAGAGCTTTAAATCGCAAAGATCAAAGGGGCACTGCCACTGCGCCCATCACCCTGAGATATAAGTTAACAAGTCCTATGTGCCCGTAATTTTACCAAAGTTTTATGGTGACCATAACTTAACATAAGCAAAAAATATTAATTGTTTTTATAATACGACTTTATTGTGTTTATAATACGAATACAATTGATATTACAATATGATCCTGATTCAATTGATTATAAAATATATTGTGAATGTATTTCATAACAAGATGAGAAAATAAGGAAGATGTGAATATGAAGTGAAGACAATGAATATCAGTCAATGACAGTATTTCATAACAATCGAGTTCAAATTTTGTACCAATAAAGTCTAAAATAAACCGTCACGGTTTATCACTTGAAAGTTAAATTATGATCCAGTTTTACAGGATACGAGTAACAATAATAATGTCAAGCTAACTTAAGAATCGAAATTTCCATACAAATGACATAAAAATTACAAAGGGTCTCACGAGAGCCACGAATGTTACGATCGGCTATTCCAAGAATTTGTATTGACCATTCATATGCAGATATTCCTGAAACATGTGACGTTTGCTACACTAGCATATATTAGACTAGAGTTTAAGTCGAGAGAACCAAATGCAATAACACACATAAGATGTAACGTCACACGGCCAGCAAAACATTTGCAATATTAAACTCAAACCTAAATAATCTTTATTTCATTGGTAAGTAAATTACACTTGAACCGATTTCAACTCTACTACTCCTTAAGAAGAATGAGTAAGGAAGTATGGGGGTTGTTCTTTGTAAATAAATATTTGCATATGCATTTATCATTTACAACATTTATTTTAAATATGATAGATCAAGACATTACTGTGTTCCGATTTTGAAGGGTAAGGGTGTTGGTGAAATTACAGGTATGTCAACTTATGTCTCAGGGTGACAGGCGCAGCGCCTCTCAGATCTTTGTGATTTAAAGCTCTGAGGACACTGCAATTGTTAAGGATATTCTTAGTATCGCAAATTATCTGTCAATGGTGGAAGATGCTATACCATCAGGTGAATTGTCTTTATGCTTGTCGGTTTACATTGCCCAAAAATGTTCAAGCGTGTCTTAGCGTGTAGTAGAATCATGAAAAAAAAGACGTTGCACAGCGTACGACAAAGTCGTTGAAGACCAAAGTAATAATCTGATTCCAAAAGATTACGTAGCACGTTCCAGAGACCCGAGGCGGATGCTTACAGTGGGCGGACATGCATTAGCCCATTCCTTCAATTTATGGATGAGATGCCATCCCGCTGTACTGCAACGGGGTTTTAAGTAACATTCTTCGCCACCAGGAAACAATTCAGGACATGACAAACAATTTAGGGCGATTTAAACGAAATCTATAATAATATTAAAAAAAAAAAATCATATAAGTACAGCTTTTGTTGTGTCGTCTCCAAGTAAAGTCTATACGAAAATTAAACTGAAAACGGTAAAACAATGAACTAATTTTTGTGATATTTGTCTGAATTTTAAAGTCGGGTTGTAACAATTTATATCAATCGTCAAGTTACGGGCCCTGGAAAAATGAAGAAATCGTACACACAAATCAGATAACAGCGAATTGCATAGCCTTTGCAGTACGACATACATGTCAAGGATAGCACACCTATTTGTTTGCAGGATGTTAGCATAACGTTATTAATTTCACGAAACCTTATTGAAAACCGTAGCGACTTAAACATATTGTTTTTAAAGTTCGCCTGAGACTTGTGGCACACTCTCTATTTAATAATCGTTAAAACAATATCAAACAACGTGTTACCATTTATGAAATGTATAAGTAAATAAAAATTGCACTAATCTTAAATTTCATTGGACTGG